AGGCAATGTAGGGGAATTTTTAGAAGCTCCAAATCTTTCTTTTAAAAGCGTGAACATTTTTCAAAAACACAAACAAATTTTGGAATTTCAAACATTTTCAAAAAGCAAAAATTAGGAACCACAAAAGTATTTTGAATGTGTGAATATTTTTTTGAAAAAGGAGGACATTTTTTAAATTCTGTACAAATTTTGAAAGCTCGAACATATTTGAAACTCCCCAAACAATTTTTGAATTTGTGAAGAACTTTTCAAAATGAGAACATTTTTTGAAATTGTGAACACATTTTTTATGGGAACATTTTTGAATTTCTGAACAAATTTTGAAAGCCTGACATTATTTGAAACTCCCCGAACAATTTTTGAATTTGTCAAACAAATTTTGAACACGAGAACATTTTTTGAAATTATGAACAAATTTTTTATGGGAACATTTTTGAAATTCTGAACAAATTATGAAAGCCCGATCATTATTTTAAACTCCCCAAACAATTTTTGAATTTGTGGTCAAATTTTGAAAACAAGAACATTTTTTGAAATTATGAACAAATTTTTGCAACCACATGAAGTTCTGATTTTTTTAAACACAAACATTTTTTTGAGTTTGTAAACAAATTTCACAATGAGAATATATTTTTAAATATGAACAAGTTTCGAAATTTTTGAACAAGTTCGAAAATAAAAATTAACTTGAAAAATAAAAGATAAATAAATAAAAACAAAAATCAAAATGTTCATAAATTCGTGAACATTGTTTTCAAAAAAATAATTAGACAAGACGTGTTTTTCTCAAATTTTCTGAACAAATTTTGAAAACTGAAATATTTCGAAAATAAGGAACAGTTTTGAATTTACGAACAAAATCTGGAAACGTAAGCATTTTTCAAAATTATATATTTTTAGAATCTTGAACATTTCTGGAAAAAGAAAAAATAAATTTAAGAAAACTGCAAAATTGGAAAAAATAAAAAGAAAAACCTTACCATAAAGAAAAAAACAAAGAAAAAAGAAGAAACCGGTTCAGGGAACCTTCTGGAAGGTTCCCAAAACCGGATGGGGTAGTGCCAACGCGATCTACTCAAATGGGCCGGCCCAGTCACGTCGGTTCGCCGCTCGCCTTTGCGTTTCTTCGGCAACTTGCTACAACGAGCGGCAAATAGAAAATTCCTAAACGGGCGCATGCATCGCCAAATAGGTTTGCTGCGAGTAGTTGCAATCTCTCCTGAAGACTTCCACTGTGTGCTACAGTACTGCGCCAACCTTTTTGGTGCGTTTCTTCGCCCGCACGTCGCTTGCTGCATTCCCTTTGCTAATTCGCTTAGTTTTTTCCTTCTTTTTTCTTTTGTTTTTCTCTGTTCTTTTTTTTTTTTTATTCATGGTTTCTTGGTATTTTCATTTTTCTTTCTTTTTTCACCTTTTTCTTTATTCTGTTTTACAGGTTTTCTTTCCCCCCTTTTTTTCCCTTGGTTTTCTTCCGTTCCTTTCTGTATTTTTACAGGTTTTCTTTCCCCCCTATTTTATTTTTTTATTTCTTTTCTTAGTATTCATCAATTTTGTTTTTTTTTTGTTTTCGTTCGGTTCCTCATGGGTTTTCAAGGCTTTCTTGGGGTTTATGTTTTTTCCCTTTTCTCGGCCTTTTTAGGTTTACACCATTTTTCTTGGGTGCTTGTTCTTCTTCTTTCCGTTTCTTCCGTTCTCTCTGTTTTTTCCTCTTTTTTCAACACATGTTCACAGTTTTCATACGCAATTGTACATTTAACATATATATTGGAAACAATTTTTTAATACATGTTTAACATTAAAAAAATTGATGAGTACATTTTTAATGCACATCATACAATTTCAGTGTATATCAATACATGTTTAAATTTTTTGAAGTACATGATGAACATTTGTTATATATGAGTAACATTTTATAAAATTTATGTTTTTTTGTTCAAAAGTTTAAATACACATTCTTAGTTTTTCGTAAACAGTAGAAACATTTATTTTGTACATGTTTAACATTTTTTAAATACATGCTTAACATTTTTAATTATTTTTATTTGATTTTTAACACAGTACAGACGCATACGCTCATACATGCGTACATAAACTCACTTCTATGAATGCACACACGTCCTACCCTCTATGAGCATCTTTGAGAGACTGAGATAGCATATCATCCTGAGATTGACAAAGCCGCCATGGATGTCTTCATAGTCAACGAGAATGTATCCTCCCATTGAACGCACACTACCAGAAGGTCTGAATAAATCTAGGAAAATGCGAACACCAAGTCTAGGACTTGAACCCTGATGGGTTGGAGTTACCACTATCCTCCTAAGCATCCAACCGAGGTTGATTCGCTAACTATTTTTATTTGATTACTACTTTTTTTCATACATGTTTTATATTTTTGGTATATATCAAGAACATTTTTATACAAGGTTTTAATTGTTGAAATATATGATTAATTTTTTTCATACACAATCAAATATTTATTAAAATTTATATTTTTATGTTCCATTCCTTAATACACATTCTACATTTTTCGTATACACCGGGAGCATTTTTTATACAAATTTAACATTTTTTAAATAGATGATTAGCATTTTCCAAATGCTTGAATAAAACTTATAAATACATGTTGTGATACACACTGGATTTTTCCTATACATTTTTATACATGATAAACATTTTTACTACACATATTTAACGTTTTACAAATGCTAGATTATTGTTTTTCAAATTTTTAATGTAGACTGTTTTTAATATTATATTTAGAATATTTGAAAGTATAAAAAATAGAAAATAAAACAAAAACGTGAAAAACAGAAAAAAGAGAGGACGTGGTCTCCCGCGAGCTGGGCCGGGCCAGTATCCTTAGGTTCTCCCTGTGTATGGGCCGAGAAGCCCAACCCATCTTATCTGACAGTTTGTCCTCTCTTGCGGCTTTACCTGCAGCTTATAATTTTATTATTGATAAGTTTAGAGCTAAACTTAATTGCTACAAGGCTAACAGGTTGTCTCATGCAGGAAGACTCACTTTTATTAAATCTGGTTTTGCTTCCCTTCCTGTGTATTACATGTCTAATATCCTTTTAAGTAAATCCACCATTAATAAACTCACTTCCATAATTAGAAAGTTCTGGTGGACAGGTATTGATAAGGATAATGCTTCCAAACCTATCTGCTTTAGGGCTTGGGATGATATTTGCAAACCTATGCATCAAGGTGGTCTAGGCATTAGAGATCTTTATATGATGAATAAGTCTATGGTTGCTATGATGGCTTGGAGAGTTATTAAGAGTCCTAATTCTCTTGTTACGAAAGTTCTCAAAGCCAAATATTTTCATAACTCTTCTATTTGGAAAGTGAATGGCAATGTTCCTAAATCTGCTTTCTGGTCCTCTATTCTCAAAGTTCTTCCTTTCATTAGCAAGGCTAGTCATACTCAAATTGCTAATGGTAATACTTGTATTTGGACTAGTCCTTGGTGCAATGATTGGGACAATATTTATGATCACCTTAAACCTAATCTAGGTATCCCTTGTCCTAAAGTTGTTAGTGATCTTTGGAAACCAAATTGTAAGAGTTGGGATGAGGATAAAATTAATATCTTTTTCGATGATAATTTCAAGAGAAATATTTTACAAACTCCTATCATTAATGCTAATATGGACGACACTTTATGTTGGATTCATACCCCTAATGCAGAGTGTACCACTAAAAATGCTTATAAAGCTTTGATGCAGGAGGCCCAACCCAGGTTACAATCTCAAAATCACACTATTTCAGATTCTGAAATTTCTATTCTCAATCAGGTTTGGAAAAGCAAAAACCTGGCTCCAAGAGTCAAAACCTTTGCATGGAGAATTCTAAGAAGAGCTTTAGCTTCAGGGCTTAGGGGATCCAGGTATTCTACTCACATTAAAAAGGAATGTTGCAGGTGCGGCGAGGCGGAGACAGACTTGCATCTTTTCATTACTTGCAATTTCACTAGAGCTATTTGGTTCCTATTTGGTCTCAAGTCTGGTGAGTTCAATCATAACTTATATCCTTCTGATGTGATTCAAAGGATTTTATCTTCTCATCATGCTGACTTAGATCTGGATACCAGTTTCACGTTGCTTTGGAATATTTGGAAAGCGAGGAATGATCTTCTTTTTAATAAGAAAAAATGGAGTATTATGCAAGTTATATATGCTACAAACGCTATGCTAAATGCGGAGTTAATGGAGGAGAAGGCGGCGGCTCACATCAACCCTGCAAACAATAATATTTCTCCTTTTCACGTTCAAAATATATAGTTCCAAAATGCAGGTCTTTTGGCGTACAGTGATGCTGCGTACAATCCGGAAATTGCAAAAGAAGAAGCTGGTCTTGGAGTAGAAATGTTAGTAACAGCCATACTGTATTTGTTCAAGCTGCTGCAAAAAATGTTTGCCCTGTTTTGCAGGCTAAAGCTATTGGATTATCACTGTCGGCTGAGGTGGTTAAAGCTCTAGGATGGAATACTGCTATTTTCTTATCTGATTGCAGGAATCTTGTCCAGGTGGCTAAAGCAAGAAACCTTTTAGAGAGTCCAGGAGATTGGAGGATAAGACCTATGCTTGCTGAATTTCTTAATCACACTTTTTTCTTTCATCATGTGAAGTCAGGTATATACCTAGGAATGGGAATGTCATTGCTCATTTCCTAGCTAAGAAAGCTTTTATGCAAAAAGTTGTCTCTAGTTCTTTAATCTTATGCAGCAAATCTTAGCAAGCTTTGAACTCTATCTCCTTTTCTTTTGAAAAGTTGATCTCTGTACACTGTTTGGGTTGCAAATAAATAAAATCAAGGGCTCTCTTTGAGGGCCTATATGTTTTCAGAAAAAAATCGGGATCATCCGGTATCATCCGACACCAGTCGAGAGGAACCCCTAAAAAAAAACCAGTCGAGAGGAAGTTTTTCTCGCGGCAGCAGAGCGGTGAACGGCGGCGGCGAAGGAGACCCTCCCCTGTGATTTTCGGGAGGGGATGGAAACCCTACCTTATGAGATTCGTGAGGCGACGGAAGTACTGGACAAGGGTCTTCGTGCCAGAGCTCGGGAGGCCGAGCAGCAGAGCAGGACGCAGAGATGCGGGACACGGCTTCCCAGCGCGGAGGAGGCCCGAAGCGAAGGCCCGGACGATGCCTACCGGATCCAGGAGATTGCGGAGAAGCAGGCGATGGAGATGATCCAATGGTACTATGATAAGCTCAAGGAGAAGGAACCGGATTCTTATCAAGACTCGTCTGATTATGAAGTCTCGTCATCGTCTGATGACGAAGACTCGTGTGAGTCTGATGAAGATAGGTGTCGCCGTGACTGGAACCGTCTATACGCCGGCGTGTTCGGCTCCTTCGATGATATCAGTAAGTCCTTCCGCCTAATTCGCTTGGCAACAATGAAAACCGCCATTGATGCACATGCTTATCAAAATCCCTCGTTTTTATCCGTGCAGCGTCTATCCCAGCCATGCGTTACACGGACAAACCTGCGCCTCCCAACTCCGCCTGGGAGGATGACACTCTACATATCTTTTCAATTGAAGTCATGGGAAGAGAGCAGCAAAAATTAGAGCGGCCGCTGGATGTGTTTGGTATGGTTGCTGCACGCGACTCGCTGGACCACAATCGCAACATTATCTTCAGTAGTGAACGGGACAATCCTCAGACCATCAGTGAGGAGGTTTGGACTCTCACTCGGGCAACTTTTAATGATTATTAGTTAACATAGTTACTAGTTAACTTCTGTTTGCTATTATGTGATTTATAAGTATATAATGTGCTTGTTTTTATACTCATCAACTGTACTACATTGTTGCCCATGGGTTTAATTAATTGTTTGGTGCAGAGTCCCTATCTAGAACTCACAGGCCCTACACGTGCTGTTGTGGTGTCGGATCGTGCGGACTTTGAGGTTAAGCTGAAAGTGAAGGGCGCTAGTGAATCCGAGGATGAATATTTAAGCTGTGTTTCTATTCCCTACAAGATCTATTCCAGACCCACTCGTTCACGCTTGGGTAATAAGCTTGAGACTAGCAAGCTCACCACACTCAAGTTCACATTTGGCTTCATTGTCAACTCTGTGGAGGCCACGATCAGCGTGAGGGTTATCAGTGGATCATGGCCACAGAGTTCTCGAAGTTTATTTACTGCCAGCACCGCCAGCATAGATCACATGGAAGTCGCGTTGCTCGATTTCGGAGGCGACGGACTGCCTGTTGCCGCTGATGGCAAGGTTCAGCTTTCACGCCGTGTTGCTTCCGTCGAGCTTGCTGGTGAGCTGAGAGTCTCCGCCGAGGCACAGTGTGAAGATGAGACTTTGACTGATGTCAAAGCTTTTACACCAAGGAAGGCCAGTAGAAGCCATGGTATCCTCAACGTTGGCTCCTGTAAGATGAAAGTCACGGTTGCCTGGTCTCTTTTCGACTGCGGCCCATTTGGGTGATGCTATGCTTTTGTGAGCTGTGCTGCAGTAGTGCCATGGTTGTTGCTCACTTATCCTGTTGAATATGCTCGTAGTGGTAATTTGCATAATATGAACTAATGATGATACTCGACAAAGATATTGTTTTAATTATCTCCTTGTGTAGTCCTGTTTGGTGAATCCTACCATAGTTGACTTGCGGAACGTTTTTCTGTTTGATGCTTAAGTGAACATGTTGAACACCCTGGGAGCGCACACCAGTCACCGGTCTTTATGCAGGATTGTGTCAAAATCTCTATCTCTACTACCTAAAAGAAACGTAAGGTTCCGTTTCTCCTCTTACGTTCCCCCTCTTTGTCCAACCCCTTCGTACGATCCCCCCTCCCCTCCAGCGATTTTTTTCTCCCGACACCGGTTTTCTCCCCACCGATTTTCTCCCTCTGCCGATTTTCTTTTCTCCCTCCAATCGACTCAATCTTTGGTAAAGAAATAATTCACATAAGGCAACCAAGCAGAATCAATCAACAATCAATCAAAACGCAATCAATTCATGCATGACAATCAATTCATTCATGACGGTGATAAATCTCCTTCCTTCTTTCAATTAAACATTGATCAATCTCATTCCTTCTTTCAATCACTTCCTTTTTCCTATCACCATGGTTTACTTGGCGCCAATGAAAATGAAAATAGTCAGATCAGTCAATATACGTCCTTGCGTTCTGAACCATGAGTCGTGTTGGAAGAGAAATCGGGTCTTAGCACTCATGGCGATGGGACCCAGGATGGGCCGTCCTGGCTCGAAGAGGGTCATGTTACCACCGCTTGTGAACTTCGTTCCCGCTCCCATATTGGCCCTCCACCGCCGATGGCCTGGCAACATTTTATCCATTCCTGCTTTTAGTTATTTGCATTAGGAAATATACAGAATTGTGCTCTTTGTCAACCAATTGCAGACATGCAAGGTTCAGCAAAATAGAAAACCTACATATATACAGTAGAGGTTGGGACGCAACGGCAAAGGTTTTGTATGCTCGCATCAAACATACCCGGAGTGGAGCAGCCATCTTTCACGCCATCCTCATCGACCAAACTGTAAGTATTCACAGAAGATATGCTATCAAGTGATCTGCTGATAATATATTCAACATGCTGCTAATGTATGCAATAGATTTCCAGGGGGTCAAAATGGATGCAATTGCATTTGATCCATTTCAACCGATCGCATATCGCTTCAGCGACAACCTACGTGCCGGCTCAGTACACTTATTCAAAAAAGTTGGTTTTGAACCAGCAGCTATGCATCTGCCAGTTGCACTGCCGGTGCCATGTGACTTTTACATCGTCCTCCACTCGCGCACTGAAATACTTCTTGCTAGGGCCAGCATTAACATCCCTTCGTTGCCGCCATGATTCATTGATTTTATAGATGTCTACAGCCTCAGAAACAGGATGCTTGCAGGTGCATTGTATCATCTCACAATGAATTTTGCTGACATGTAGTTGAGCCAGACTTTCTTAACAAATTCACATCATTTTTTCCCATATGTCATTGGCATAGTGATGCATGTCAGCAAAATAATGTTACACAGGTCAGACGACCGTACCACGCCATACCGACATGTGGTCCTAATGAACACTCGGTAAGAACTCTACTTAATGTTTAGTACATTTTATTGGCAGTGGGCTAACATTTTATTGCTCAACCAGGAGGGAGTTTATCTACCTACGTGCCTGGGAGCAGCATGTGTCACGCCACTTGATGCGGTGGGGACTAGCAAAGCAGGGGCTCTGGACTTTAGGTGCCACACTGCTTGAGGTCAACAGAGCACAACGTGAGTGCTTGTGTAATCGAAGAATGTTTAACATGACCATCTTATATAAAAATATGAATTGTATGTTGTTTTATTAAACCTATTTTGTAGGGTTCTTGAAAACGACATACATGAGCCAGCTTGTCTTCCAACCAGACAACCAGCAGTCCTACGAGTTGGCAGCCTGCCGTGCGGCACTAGGAGATGCTCAACCGGGCCAGCTTGATTGTTCAACGAATGAGCCATGTTCACGTTCAACGAATGAGGAGGGTTCAAGTCTGATGCAAAATTCACTTCGATGCTCTATAATGATGTTCAAATGTTATTATGTTCGCACAACCACTTAGTGTTCGTCGCCTCTAAAACAGCTTCACAAGGATCTATTTTTATAGCACGTGTTGTCATCATTATAAATCCGTGGGAGGCGTAGGATGAAGATGGTCTCTCTCAAACAACTCTGCAACCAAATAACAAAGAGTCTCTTGTGTCCCCAGCACACCCAATACAATGGTAAATTGTATAGGTGCACTAGTTCGGCGAAGAGATGGTGATACAAGTGCAATATGAATGGTAGATAAAGGTATTTGTAATCTGAAATTATAAAAACAGCAAGGTAACTAATGATAAAAGTGAGTGTAAATGGTATTGCAATGGTAGGAAACAAGGCATAGGGTTCATACTTTCACTAGTGCAAGTTCTCTCAACAATAATAACATAGATAGATCATATAACAGTCCCTCAACATGCAACAAGAGTCACTCCAAAGCCACTAATAGCGGAGAACAAACAAAGAGATTATGGTAGGGTACAAAACCACCTCAAAGTTATCCTTTCTGTTATATCTATTCAAGAGTTCGTAGTAAAATAACATGAAGCTATTCTTTCTGCTCAATCTATCATAGAGTTCATACTAGAATAACACCTTAAGACACAAATCAACCAAAACCCTAATGTCACCTAGATACTCCATTGTCACCTCAAGTATCCGTGGGCATGATTATACGATAAGCATCACACAATCTCAGATTCATCTATTCGACCAACACAACATACTTCAAAGAGTGCCCCAAAGTTTCTACCGAAGAGTCAAGACGAAAACGTGTGTCAACCCCTATGCATAGGTTCATGGGCGAAACCGCAAGTTGGTCACCAAAACATACATCAAGTGGCACATGATATCACATTGTCACCACAGATAAGCACGGCAAGACATACATCAAGTGTTCTCAAAACATAAAAGACTCAATCCGATAAGATAACTTCAAAGGGAAAACTCAATCCATTACAAGAGAGTAGAGGGGGAGAAACATCATAAGATCCAACTATAATAGCAAAGCTCGCGATACATCAAGATCGTGTCATAGAGGGAACACGAGAGAGAACACGAGAGAGAGAGAGAGAGAGATCAAACACATAGCTACTGGTGCATACCCTCAGCCCCGATGGTGAACTACTCCCTCCTCGTCATGGATAGCACCGAGATGATGAAGATGGTCACCGGTGATGGGTCCCCCTCCAGCAAGGTACCGGAACGGGATCCCGAGAGGTTTTTGGTGGCTACAGAGGCCTGCGGAGGCGGAACTCGCGATCTATCTTCGTTCTCGGTGTTTTTAGGGTACGTGGGCTTATATAGGCGAAAGAAGTTGGTCCGGGGTGCTCGAGGGGCCCACGAGACAAGGGGGCGCGCCCTCCTATCTACTGGCCTCCTCGAGGATCTTCTGATGTGAACTCCAAGTCTCCAGGATCATATTCTTCCAAAAAATCACGCTGCCGAAGGTTTCATTCCGTTTGGACTTCGTTTGATATTCCTTTTCTTCGAAATACTGAAACAGGCAATAAAATAGCAATACGGGTTGGGCCTCTAGTTAATAGGTTAGTCCCAAAAGTAATATAAAAGTGTATAATAAAGCCCATAATCATTCAAAACAGATAATAAAATAGCATGAATGCTTCATAAATTATAGATACGTTGGAGACGTATCAGCCGCGACGCGCTCTGCTCACATCCGTCCGTGCATTTTGCTCTGCTCGCGTCCGTGTGCACGTTTTGCTTGCCATCGTGGTTTATTGGACCCCCTCTGGATTTAGTAGCACCAAAATTTGACCTCTGCTTACGTCCCTCCGCATGCTCTGCTCGCCATTTAGGCACGCTCAGTCGCATCCCTCCGCGCGCGCTCTGCTAGCGGTTGGGGCCGGCGCACAATCACGATGGGGAAGGTTTAGTTATTTGATCTCATATTATGTAATTAATTGTACCTCTAGACCCGGAATCATCCAGCTTTGGAAGTATAATTAATTAACCTAAAATATGATCTTTGGCGCCCGTTCCCATCGCGCAACTCCATCCTGTCGTCGGTCGTTGGGAGTATGCCGGTATGTGTGGGTAACTAGCTAGCAAGTGGATTAGTAGAGAGTCGCCGCCGGCGGCCATTGCTCTGGTTATTTTTAGCTAGGAGCTGGCTAGGGGATTGGGAATTTTGCAATTCACCCATGTGGAGCGCGAGAAGCCTTCACTGGAGCGCGGGAAGCCTTCCCTGGAGCGCGAGAAGACTAAGTGGAGCACATAACCCGACAATGGTATGCGATGTCACGTGTTATCACATACGTGTTAACATAAGGAAATGTATGTGTAACTTGCTAATCATCGCACACGAGTACTCGCATATGCATC